ATTGTTGAAGGAAAATGTTTTTCTTTTGTTTGGTTGCCCTCGTATTCTGTTAACGGATAATGGAAAACAATTTGTTAGCAAGGAGTTGAAAAATCTGACTAGCACTTTTGGTATCAAATTGGTTCATGTCGCAAACTATCATCCTCAAGCCAATGCTTGTGAGCGGCAGCACAGGACTCTGAAGACTATGCTCTCGTCCTATATCAAGGACAATCACCGTAACTGGGATATTTATTTACAAGAAGTCGCCTGTGCAATAAGGACCGCCAGAAGCGAAGCCACGGGTGTATCACCCTATTTCGTGAATTTTGGACGAAATATGACCCTGAATGGAAACGATCACGAACCACCGTTTGTAGATCCTGATACTCCTAAAAATGCATTATCCCCAGAGAGTAGATCCCTGGAATTTTCCAAGTTGTTTAAGGATGTTCGTGCTAGACTTGATAAGGCTTTTGAACGAAACGAACGGATCTATAATTTGCGCAGACGTAACATTTCCTACGAAATAGGGCAAGAGGTCCTGGTAAAGAACCACTGTTTGTCCGATAAGGCGAATTATCGAACTTCTAAATTTGAACCAAAATATCGGGGCCCCCTTTTTATTCGCAAAAAAGTTAGTCCTTGGACCTATCAGATACAAGACGCGAATAATAAGTATTTAGGTGACTGGCACGTCCAAGATCTGAAACCTATCCCGGTTAATCAAAGTTTGGAAGACGTGAGTGATAATGCTTCTGATCATGATAACAATAACTCGGATCTGGAATAAACAAGTTGTTTTTTTTGTCTTTATAGTGTGTAGTGTTCGTGTTTGTGAAAGTTTGAAAATGTATAGTCATTCTCTTGATTCGCAGCTAGAACTTAAAGGATTGTGACGTCGTCACTACCTCGATTATGAGGGATATCAGCCTTGGAGTTCTGAGTTCTTATAAATTAATAGTGTTGTTTTGATAATTTGTAAGAACAATGCATAGATTGCAGATTTTCACAGAGAAGCTGATTTGTACAAGAAAAAAAAAGTTTTGGAAACTTTTTTTTTGTCACGTAAGGGGGGTGTTGTAACAGGCTAAAATGTCACAAGGATTATGCTCACAATTAGGCAATACTCACATCAATTCAATGTCAATTCTAGATGTTTATCCTAAAAATTTTGATAAAAACAACAATGATTTTGGTATTTTATTTAATGGTCACTTTGGCACACTATTAATCAATTCAATACTATCACTCTGCTATTCGTCATTTCTTGATTCTCGTTCATAAAAATCTGAAGTGTGAGAGGAATTTCGAAGAATTACATTGTTCCAGGAAGATTCATTTTCTCATCATATACCACCGTCTTCATCATCGAAATTCATTGGCTCCGTAATACGAAAAGTTATTACACCACCTATTGTTTCATTCAACTTAGACATCATGTATCATTGAGCTGGATACCTGTAAATGAAATAAAACAATGAACTATTTACTTTGTGAACAGAATTCTATCACGTCGTCGAATCAATATAAACTCACCTGGTTATATTCCTGCAACGGTTACGCATAATCACATATTAATCGTATTAAATGTATCTGGTTTATCATTGATTGGATATGTTGGTGATTGATTTCTTTCCTCGAGTTATGCACCTGTTGAGCAGTTTGTTTATATTTCAGTCATTCCATCTCGTCAGATCTTCGAATTATTTATTGTCACCTGATTGTCACCTGTCTCGTACGTCGAAAATTATCGTCGTTAGCATGCGCGACTCGGACGTCGGTCGAGCACAGACCATCACTTGCGATATGTGAATATAATTTTTATTGAAAACGAGAAGGATGGGAACATGCAAGTAATTTACGAATCATTTCGGATTCCAGCATTGTTGAACGATTGATGAAATACCAACTAATGAAACGTTCAATTTCATATACCTGTTGTTTTTATAAATAGGCTGAAAACACGCAGATTTTGGCGCGATATCTTTCTCAGGGAATTTTGATGATAGCGAGTTGTCGATCTTTGGTCATCTTGGTTGAAAAATCAGAATCGGGGAGAAAGCTTTGAGATTTTTGATAGTGAATACGCCATATTAGTGGTTCTTTCCGAATTTTTGAGGATTTTGCTGATTTCTGAAAAATTAGAGAAATTCAGTTGAATAGCAGATTTGCTAGTCTCCTTTTTGTTGGCGTATATAGAATCGATAATCGTGTGTTTTGATTCAATGCTCTTTCCGGTAAGATTTCAACTTTACGTTTTTTTTGTTTGGTTTCGTGAATATCGCTTTCTTTCAGACATCTTGATATCATAGAAGTTCACAAGATAAACCTGATAAGTGAGGACTAGTATAATTTTATTGAGGACCCTCCTCCCTACGATGTTCAGGAGGTGAGATTATCTATATATTTCTATTTTTCACATTTTGCTGGAATGTGTCTAGCATGTTATATGCTCATAGGGAATATCAACATGTGAATTCACATCTGAATGCGTTGATTGATGAAATAGATTACATTATTATCTCTTTCCAATTTATTTGGATTTTAAGTAAGATATTTTCGTTCTATCAGATTGTAGAGCATAAATTATTTCTAGGGTTCTTTTCTGAGGCATAAATTTCGTGCTAAATACCGAATAAGAGTTTTGCTGAATTTGCCAAGTAATTGCGGTATACGGAGTACTCCGATTGGGATGTGAATTGCTGCCTATATGAATCCGTCGATTCACCAGATGAAAAAGAGATGCGTCAACTCTAACCCCGAGCCAGTTTCTGGATGAGTATTAACCATACTTATTAATGCACATTTACCCGACCACTTTTTTTTTTATTCCTGAATTTTGGAGCGTACTACCAGGTGTCCTATTTGAAGATTAGCTGTCTACTATTATCAGCACAATTGTTGTGACATATTAGAATATTATATAATTATTCCCCAATTGTTCGTTGAGGATGCCACTTTGATTGGTATCTGTGATGTGACCAATTTCATTTTAGTTTTACCATTAATTAATTACACTTAATCATCGGAAACTCACTGTGCGCCTTATATAGCTATATTCGGACATCACGATATTGTTATTCAATTTTAGAATTGGCTATTGTTCACCTCGTACACCAAAGGGACTCGTTCATCCCTTTGATTTTGATCTTTTTTATTCTGGAAATCACAGTGTTTTCTATATTAATTAATATGAATAAATCTTGAAATAATAACTTTGATTGCTTGGTTTCCCGTTTTACTGTTGGCTTTCTAGCACACTGGTGGCACAGAGGTTATTTTAAACGGGTGGCGTCCAAAAATTTTATATATATATATTTATAATTGTGTTCAGTTGAACCCGCTCCCACACTACTGAGCAAACCGGCTGCCTCTGGCCAGAAAGCTAGGTAGTCATTATTATTTTGGTAGAGATTTGTTTTAACTCGTAGGAATTCGATTATGTAAGTTGCACCCGTCACACGAGAAAAGACCTCAATTCAATCAAATATGGGTATAAGACCTATTTTATACAATCGAACAATTCTCTATAATGAATTACCTGCCAGACTGAAGAAAACATTAAGTGTTGAGAAATTCAAAAAAGAACTGAAAAAATACTTGTCTTCGATTCTCTTATATCATCCTAAATCAATTCAAGAACTTATATTCAACAGTCTCTAGAAGAAACAACATTATATGTACTATGTGTATGATTTAAGAATGATTATCTGATTATCTAATTTTTTTTTTAGTTGCTCTTTCATAATTTTCCCTGCTGTAAACATATATGTTTCTTGGGAATAATAAAATTATTTTTAAGTACACAAAATAGGTATGGAATAATATCCTGGGGTTGTGCATCGAAAATTCATTTAGAAAGAGTATTTGTGCTACAAAAATTTGACATAAGAAGAATAGCATCAGCTAAGCTTGATGAAACTCGCAGACCACAATTAAAAACTCAAAGCAATGACATTATATGAGTTATTGTCTACGATTTGAAAAATATTTCACAAACACAGATGTGCACCAATATAACACAAGAAACAAATTTAACTTTGTACTGAAAGCAAATAGTGAAAAAATCCCGATAATAAAGGTATCAAACGATTCGCGATATCCACGTAGTGAGCAACATCTATATTCATAAAGTTACACTATGAACTCCGGGGAAACAAATAAGTGAAACAAGTGAAAGAAAAGGTGTCAAAGTCATTGTTAAGATGGATTAATGTGGCAATATCATTCGTTTGTGAATCTCAAGTTCATAAATTTTGTTCTGTACGAGAGTGTAATGATTATACATCAGAAAATGTTTTGATACACTTCTTTCCAAAAAAACAGGAATTGGCGAATGCATGGTTACCACTAACCAAACCAATTTTTTACAACTCGACACGTATTTGGCTAACTATGTTAACATCTTCAGGAAAAGATTGAAACTGAATGCTCTATCCTAGTGGGCTACTTATATACTAGGTATATGTCCACCCAACCATGAATAGACAATATATATATATATTATAATGCAATAGAAGCCTACAATTCTTTACTACAAAACTTGAAAACTATCACGGATGCAAAGAGGTTTAGAACTCCGGTCATTAAATTTCTGAAAAATAAATGTTTTTACTCATTCAACTGTTGGTTGTAATAATACTATTTATTTGTAATGTAAAGTACCTATTTTATTTGTGTGATTTATGTGAAGGTTGATTTTAACGTGTACTTATGTACTTAGAAAATTTTGAGATACAATTCTATAACATGTAGGAAATTATGAATTTTTAAAATGTAATTTTAAACAGATGATGTAAACGCCACAGGTAGTAGCTAAGATTGTTCTGTAACCCCTGACGTTTGCTGTGTCCATGTTGATCGTTTTCGCAATAAAGAGATTATTATTATTATTATTATCATCAATTCAAGCTCTAGTGGTATAATAAGTTAAAATGCATTGGGCCACTTCGGAATGGACGATTTCCATAGTTTCAACATAAACACCATGACACTTTTTTTTAAAAGTCGGACTATACCTGATGATGGACTTGTTGAGCAGCCGGTAGGCTTCGCGCACGTGCTTCGTTTGCACGTCGTCGGAGATGTCCATGCGTGCCATCGCTTC